TTCTCGAGTAATACCGTAATACTGTCAATTAGTCGATCGGGAGTTCGATTTAGCCAACGAAACTCGTAGTGTTTACTTGTTATATGGATACATTCATCATGCTGAGAGATTACATTAATATTCGCGGTATTACTAGAGAAATCGAATTTTCATGCATTTGCATAAGAAAACGCACGCACAGTAATAGGTAAGAACGAATTGACAGATTATCGTTATTACTACTATCAGCGGCAAAGGCAAAAACTATCCGAGCAATAGTGGGTACGCATGCGTGCTAAGGATGCCGTAGGAGCTTCAATTTCGGTGTTTTAGTGAAGCCAATTTCGTATTCAGGACTCCTATTTCGACAAGTGTGTTTCATAGTAGACACTTTAATAACGCGAGACACGGTTTTGCTAATAATTCGAAGTTTAATATTAACTCGGAGTAGTTCCAGCAAGGGTCTTCCAGAATGACGATCTCGTATGAACCAACCTAGAATCGAACCCGGGACAGGTGATGATGATGGATTCTACTGTGATCAGTTTTCTCTATCTGTCCGGTTCATAGCGATGCTGATCGTTCCTCCGAGGTTGTTTATGCCCGGTATAATCTACTTTGTTATAACGGATAGTTGTACGTGTATAACATAGTTATTAAAGTCATAGTGAGACGAATATAACATATTCTGTTTATAATCCTGCGGCCCTTGGTCTACTTCCGTACCTGATTTGTATCTTCAGTGCTCAACCTCAAAGATATCAATGAGCTCTTGCGGTTTCATCTTCTTTAACAGAGTATTAGTCTTTTTGTACTTATCTAAATCATAAGCCCCCCACTCAAGAGTGTTTGAGCTCACTATGTCTTTCCATCGTGCTTTTGCGAGAGTCGTTTGCAATTACAACAAGAGTCTCGAAGGTTCTGTTCCATGGTAAGTCCAAGCTCACTCTACTGAAATATTGATGTTTTTACTGTGTGATGACCTTTACATGTGTCTTCATTGACTCTGTGATAGCCGGTGTGATTGTGTGATCAATAGAGTCACTTTTCATTCCTCTTTGCTAGTGCGAGTATTGGCGAGGGAACGCGTCTAAAGTATTGTTTGCATTGTTATCGTGTTGATGATACTTAAACTTGACATGCGAATTCGCATCGACGAGATAATCCACAGTTTGAGTGTTTTCATGAACAACAGTTCACTCCAGTGTGGGGAGCCACATGTGACATCATGAAAATTCTGAGTAAATTTTGGGAGGTTGTTGTTGGTTTCTGTACACTCCTATTCGAGTTCGTATGTAGACTTCGATATGGGTGAGGAAACTCCTGAGCTCAGCTGAGGAGAGTGAACGTATATCCCCTCGTGCTGGTTTGCTTTCTCATTCCACATTCCAGTTCATGTTTATCAGATATCAAGTGAAGCGCGAGAAGTCCCCTTTTCAGCAAGTTTGGGACGAAGTTTTCACTCCTGTCTGGTTCAAGCTACTCAAGGGACCACAAGATATCTTCATTCAGCGCACGGCGAAGATTTTTTCTGCCAGATACGAACGTTGGGAATACAACGCTCTCGTCGCGCGTTACAGAGGAATGGGAATTATGGCCGATGACGCTATGAACGACAAGGTACCCGGTTCGATCTTCGTTGATGACATTGTACCATGTTAGGATATGATTGTTGAACGAGCACTAGATATCATTCCAGAAGATATCCGAATCCAGAGGTACAGACGAATGATGAGAGGTAGGTGTTATTGTGGTTGTTCTTCATGCGAGGTTTCTGTTTTGCAGGGGCCGTTCTGGCTGGCCGAAAGCTGCATCTTCCACTAGAGCTGCAAAACTACGATCCTATGGTCCCCTACATGGCGCCTTATATAGAGGAGGCCAAGTTCCAAATGCAAGAAGAACAAGAATTGCTGGCTTTCCATCCTTGGGATCGCCGACTGTACGTCTCGGGGTTGATAGCGTCTCTCGGTAGGCTTTGGAACAGGGGAGTACTTAGAGAGTTGGAGCGTAATAGTAATCAGGAAGTGATCACATCGAATCAGCCCTCACTTATCACGTATGGATATTCGGACAGTTAGGGTTTGACTCTCCAGAAGAACGATAATTTGCACTCGATCGGTGTTCGTCGGTTGCCGAGATAACGTTAGGTTTATATCATGATATGAAGTAATATTCGATACTATGATTTATAATAGTGGTGTACAATTATATACAGTCCTCGCGAGACTCAAATCAATATCTCATCGATGGATCCATCTCCGTTTGGCATGCGTTGTGAGGATTGATCGATGGATTTTATCAGCATTGACCATAGCTCAGCGGAAGCGAGGGGGAATAAGCCTCCTTAGCGTGAGTATTAGCTCGAATCTTATGGATTAATACTTAATGATACGACGTGGCTCGCATCCTGGATCATTGATTACGGACTTT